ACATGCAAAACATTTTAGAATTGTATCAACAGTGGACTAATGAAACAAATACCCAAATATAGTTTTTGAGTGGTATTTCCTTTAACACACACACACACACACACACACATACACACACACACACACACACACACACACACACACACACATACATACACACACACACACACACACACACACACACACATACACACAGGAACACACACACTGGAACACACACACACACACACCCCCACACAGTGAGAGGCATTGCTAAAACAGATCACATTCAATGAGTTAGGAGCACTCTGCAAGTTAGACAGGACTTTACATAAAACATTAAAGCTAATCACTAGAGATACCATTCCCAGCTCACAGCTAACCACTAGAGATACCACTCCCAGCTCCCAGCTAATCACTAGAGATACCACACCCAGCTCACAGCTAAACCTTGAGATACCACTCCCAGCTCACAGCTAACCACTAGAGATACCACTCCCAGCTAATCACTAGAGATACCACACCCAGCTCACAGCTAACCCTTGAGATACCACTCCCAGCTCACAGCTAACCCTGGGGCTTTGGTCAAAAGTAATGTATTGTATTGGGAATAGGGTGCCATTTGGAACGCAGACCAGAATAATCAAACGTGTTAAGACCTCATCCCACTGGAGGACAGGCCAACATACTGATTGTCCAGCTGTGCTAGACTGGATGGTGTTATCGGCATATTGACTTAAGAAGAGCTTGCGGATTCATGGGAACCAATACAGGAGAGACTCAGGGCCCTAGTTATAGACTACAGTATTTCCTGGTGTGATCACATGACCATGACAAACTCAGGGCCCGAGTTATACCATGAGTCACGTCAGTGTAGAGGCATTATTATCCAGAATAAATAACGTACAGTCAAAATGCTCTGTGCCAATGAAATATTATCCTGTGTTTATCTAGCCTAACTACACATTTCCCCTCAACAGCCATTGGCTGCAGTAATGCTTGGACTGTGTGTCCTGTGTCAACATGTGAATAAGTAATGACAAGTATCTCTCCCTCTTGCTCTCTCCCTCTCTCACCACCCCCCTCTCTCTCTCTCTCCCTCTTTCTATCATTCTCCATCCATCCCTCGCTCTCTCTCCATCCCTCACCCCTCTCTTTTTAAAAGCTTTATTTTAAGAATTCCCTGTGCTCTGGTGTTCTGCTGACGTGCAAAAGAGATAAAAGATGAATGCTTTTTAACAACATTTAAATGGATGTCCTGAACTTCAGTACATAGCCAATAGCTAGGTTTTTATCCAATTGGCAACAGATTTTCACACGAATATTCTAAAATCTGCTGTGCATGATGAAGTAGGACACATAAAAATATATTTTGCAGTTCAATTCCCATGTACCGAATACAAAATACAAGATAACTGGGTTTCCATTGTATTTACAACACTACTGATGGTTTTGTCACAAAACACGTTGCCTTATATAGTGAATGTGTCAACTCTGGTCTTGGCACGTGCGCTATAGGCAACAGCTCGCAGACACAGTGCGGGTAGGCTACAAACCTAACCTGCCTGAAACTAGACCCCTACATACTGGTCTTGATGAGACAGCCTGCTCTCATTGACTAGATGTAACATAGTCAACGTAAATCCGTGTGACTCAAATTAGTATGATATGTTACGTTTGGTATGGTTACATAAGACAGAAGGTTACTTAAGGCAAAAACGAATATGGCACAAACGTCTAGCAACCCAAAGGTTGCGTGTTTGAATCTTATCAAGGACAACTTTAGCATTTTAGCTAATTAGCTACTTTACAACTACTTAGCATGTTAGATAACCATTCCCCTAACCCTTTAACCTAACTCCAAACCCTAACCCTTAACCTAGCTAACGTTAGCCACCTAGCTAACGTTAGCATTAGCCACCTAGCCACCTAGCTAACGTTAGCCACAACAAATTGGAATTCGTAACAAATGATACGTTTTGCAAAGTCGTAACATATTGTATGAATTGCGATTTGTATTTTTTTGCACTGACTCTCTTGCACAGGCTCAATGTACACTCACTGGACTCTAACCTTACACTCACACATACTACACTGACACTCCAACACACACACACACTCACAAAACACACACAAACATATTGACACCACACACACACACACACACACACACACACACACACACACACACACACACTTTTAAACTCTTCCACACTCTTCACATACGCTGTTGCTACACTGTTTATTATCTGTCCTGATTGCCTAGTCACTTTTACCCCTACCTACATATTACTTAAATTACCTCAACTACCTCGTGTCCCTGCACATTGACTCAGTACTGGTACTCCTTGTATATAGCCTCATTATTGTTATTTTATTGTGTTACTATTTCCTTAAGCAAGCATTTCACAGTAAAGTCTACACCTGTTGTATTCGGCACGTGACAATAAAACATATCATACTAATAGGAGTGTGCGGGATTTACATTTACTATATTGGACGAGAAGAAGAAAAAAAAACTGTCAGGGGAGGTTTTCTTCTGTACTGTTCAACCAATCCAGTAAATGTGGAGGAGTTAAGATGGGCTGTGGCCCATAGAGATGGAAAGAGGCCTCATTGTCTCCGTGCCTTTATGACGTCTGTGACAGCATAGGCTCCATTTTTAAGTAGTACATTTTCTTCTTCACGATTGGCTGATCCCTCCTGATGACCCTGTTGGACATGACTCCAACAGGGTCAACTGGAGGGATCAGACAATGAAGTTGAAAGTCCCACCCAGTTGACTACATTAAAAAGGTGGAAGCCTTCAGTGGCGCTGCCCATGGTAATACAGCAATTTGGCCACTAGAGGCCTCTATCATTCTCTATGGTGTAGCCTTGTTAATGTCCAAAAGTTGGAAGTGGCATCACAGGCTCTTTTCCATTTCCCCTGAAAACCGGAACATCCGGTTGTTGCTAGTAGTCTATCTACATGATGTGATTATTATGGATAAAAGCAAGATAATTTCTATTTGTCAAAAGGCACACATTTGCTGTATCCATCAGGTCTTTCGTGACATTTTTTATCGTTTGAAAAGGTTGGATGGAAACCTGATTTATATGGGTCAATTATTTATCCATGGGATGTAAGAAAGGGCTATATTTGGGGTTTGGAAGTAAGTTTGTGAATGAAATTCAAGCCACGAATGGCATTTCATCACCCACATCATCGTCACCACCATCATCATCACCATCACCATCATCATCATAATCATCATTATCACTGCCATCATCATCATCGCCATAATCTTCACCATCATCATTACAATCATCACCATCATCCTCATCACCATCATCATCATCATCATCGCCGTCACCACAATCATCATCACCACCATTATCACCATCATACCATCACCACAATCATCATCCTCATCACCATCATCACCACCACCATCATCACCATCACCACAATCATCATCCTCATCACCATCATCACCACCACCATCACCACCATCATCATCACCATCATCTTCATTATCATCATCATCACAGTCCTTATCTTCTTGCCCCCCATCATCATTGTCATTTAACTGACATAAATAAGTTCTCAACAGTTCCCCAGAAAATGCATTAAATGTCAGAGGTTTGAGCCTGAAATATTGCAACGAGACCCTGTTATAATACGCAGTTAAAAGATGGTAATAGCAGACTTATAAATGTGTGAAATGTATCTATTACCACTAGAGGGAGTACATGATACATGATCGAGAGAGACAGCCCCAGCTCGGATTATTTTGAGGCGATATCATGACACTTTTCAATTCATTAGTCTGCTGATAGGCCTACTGCTTTCTGCCAGCATCTGTTTATATGGTACAGATACAATCTACATTATGGCTTAATAGTACACATCTTATATTCAGTTAAATCATCACCAATCACATTGTCACAGCCTGTATATGTGTAGGCCTACCTCCAAATATTACATGAGAAAAATAACTATTACCATTTTGATAAACTAAAGAAAGATAATGTATGTGAGTTGCTACTGTATGTCTTTTACAGTATGAAGAATGGGGATATAGTCTACTGCGTGGTGATGGTTTGGATATGGGCTGACTAAGTGCTTCTACATCTGCGTTGCTTGTTGTTTGGGGTTTTAGGCTGGGTTTCTGTATAGCACTTTGTGACACCTGCTGATGTAAAAAGGGCTTTATAAATAACATTTGATTGATTGATTGACTGACTGACTACGTACCTGTCCAGTTTTGTTTGTGTACAACCGCAGATAATGATGTCATTCAAGTGGTGAAATCTCCGTCACCTACCAGTCAGCGGTTAAGGAATGAGACATGTAAACTGATACGGGTGACTGGCAAGTGCAGTTCCAAAACTTGCTCAGTTCGGACTTGGGAACGTTTGTTAGCCTACTTGCCTTTTGAAGCGTGTTTCCGCCAAAACAGGTAGGCTATGTACTGATATTGTGGACAAATATGTGAGTTGAATTTAAAACATTGCATTGAAATGCATATCTGTAAATCGACAACGACTTTTGTCAAGTGTGTGGATTTCTACTGCGTCAGCCGAAGCGCTAGACAGTTCCAGCGCGTGAACAATTTTGGCAATTTATTTACAGACGTTTCGTTTATAGAAATCTACCCTCTCCTGTCTGTAATTTTAACAAGCACGATAAGTTATTCATTACAGCGATTGTATGTTGATTTATTTTTCGATTGAGTGCACAGGTCTGTAGCTTGGTATTGCACTTCCGGTTACCTGAACAGTAGGCCTAACGCAGGTGACAATACACTTGTGCGCGAGCTACACAGCTCAAGACAAGAAGCAACCGTAACCGTATTCGATGCGATGTTTACAAATGGAAAATATTATCACTAGACTGTATTTCATGTAATAACAATACATTATATAGTATAGAATGTTATACCTGGTAGATTTTTAAACGATCATACAAGGATAATCTTTATATAACATATGCTTTCCTTATCCTCCAGTCCAGAATGCTGTAATCATTCTGATGAATGAGAACACACAGCCACACCGAAGCAGAGCCCTGCACCCATTCTAAGATGGAGGAACTGGCTGTGTTGGACTTGTTGGAGTGCCCCCAGTGATTGGAGCGCCTGGACGTTTCAGCCAAGGTCCTGCCCAGCCAACACACCTTCTGGAAGCCCAGCCTGCAGCACCAGGAGACCTCCAGGCCCGGGTCCAAGATCGAGCTCCGCTGCCCGGAGTGTCGTACCCCGGTCCAGGCCAGGTCGGTGGAGGAGCTGCCCCCTAACCTCCTTCTGGTTCGGCTCCTGAAGGGGCTCAAGCAGGGGCCCATGGGGCCAGTACGGGAATGGAACAGACCTTCTGCCCGATATATGATATCCTCTGCCGGGGAGAATGGTTTACCCAGGGGCAGGGAGGCCCAGCAGCAGCATCAGAAACAACAACAGAACCCACAGTCTGATCAGCAGCACAGAGAGAGGCAGCCTGGACAGAATGAGGTGAGTAGCCTGTGGTGCTGGGTGTTATTATGGATCTCTATGACTAGTGCAGAATGACAGCACCAACAGCACCAACTGGCATTCTGTTACCAAACTTTGCATCTGCACTGTTCTTCAAGCAAATGTGTTTTTGTAAAATGTTCTGTGGACATTAATACAAGTTGTCCTTGTGCATAGAGTTGTATGGTTTGTTTAACTTTGCAATCATTGGTTTTTGTTTGAGATACGTTTTAAAGTGAAAAATAGTGCCCGTATAGTGCTCCTACAGTGGTTTGATCCATGCCGGGATAGTGCTCCTACAGTGGTTTGATCCATGCCGGGATAGTGCTCCTACAGTGGTTTGATCCATGCTGGGATAGTGCTCCTACAGTGGTTTGATCCATGCTGGGATAGTGCTCCTACAGTGGTTTGATCCATGCTGGGATAGTGCTCCTACAGTGGTTTGATCCATGCTGGGATAGTGCTCCTACAGTGGTTTGATCCATGCTGGGATAGTGCTCCTACAGTGGTTTGATCCATGCTGGGATAGTGCTCCTACAGTGGTTTGATCCATGCTGGGATAGTGCTCCTACAGTGGTTTGATCCATGCTGGGATAGTGCTCCTACAGTGATTTTATTTCTGATTTTATTTATGTGGTAAAGAGTCCAAGTATCTGTATCAGATACACATATATTATTAATTCATTTGATCTATTGTCTGGCTTGTCCAACATGAAATGTAGCACTGCAACATGTCCACTACTTTTAGGGTAGCTTGAGTACAGTACAATCTATTGCATTACATTATAGTAGGAGGCTCTTATCTGAGGAGGTCAATAGAAATCACAGTCAAGCTAAGTTTACTGATGGGTATCATAACTGTTGGAATGCTTATTCTTTCACCACTTTGTTGTGTACACCGCATGCTTAGTTGGAGGAGATCAGTACTGCTATTCTGAGACTCTTTTGTGAATACAGGTCCTGACTCCCGGTCCTAGTTTGTCAGTCTAGTCTGAGGCCCAAATGGCCCCCTATATTGTACAGTACTTTTGGGCCCTGTGCTAGACTAGCGTCCTGTCCAGGGGGTGTACGTCAAGCTGCCTCACGCTACAGAAACAGGAGTTAGGCTCCTGCTCCTATGAGCCATTCTGTCTCTCACAAGCCAAGGCTACTTACTTACTTTTGACCAGAACCCTATGGGGTAGTAGTGCACTATATAGGGAATAGGGTGCCATTTGGGAGGAAGACTAGATCTAGGTAAGAGACTCAGTCCTGTGTTACACCAGAGGGAGAAGACAAGGTGATTGTCTTGGCAACGAGACACAGTTTACGTCTGTGTTATGATGATTTGTGATACAAGATTCATTCATGTATGTGCAACTCATAAGCTGTATGTGGACAGGACAAGGACACACCATGTGTTAGTGGTGTCACGAGTGAGGAATAGAAGGTCAGTGTGCCATGATAGATTGTGGGCCACTGGTGCTAATCTTAGGATGGGTGCGTGAGGGAATGGCCTGGCTAGGGTGCCACACGACACCAAGGAGGTGAATGATATAGTGGTAGATGAGTGACAATCAGTAATGTCCAACAAGACTCTACAGAACATCAGTAATGTCCAACAAGACTCTACAGAACATCAGTAATATCCAACAAGACTCTACAGAACATCAGTAATGTCCAACAAGACTCTACAGAACATCAGTAATGTCCAACAAGACTCTACAGAACATCAGTAATGTCCAACAAGACTCTACAGAACATCAGTAATGTCCAACAAGACTCTACAGAACATCAGTAATGTCCAACAAGACTCTACAGAACATCAGTAATGTCCAACAAGACTCTACAGAACATCAGTAATGTCCAACAAGACTCCACAGAACATCAGTAATGTCCAACAAGACTCCACAGAACATCAGGGCTAATCAGTTACATTACAGTCCTCGATGGCCACACACAGCACTGCTGGTTTTCTTTATTCCTCTGTAGTTAATAGACCAATGATTGTCATTGATTGGCCAGAGAGTTCAAACACCTCACTGTCCCAGATTCAGACCCTGATAGAAATAATACATTCAGCTGTGCTGTGGCCCTCTAGCTAAGAACAGAATAGACCTGCTCTGCATTCACTGTACTTGGCAAATATACAGTAACATAAGCTCTGTATTTTCCCATCCTGTGTCCAGGTCATTGCCAGAGCCCTGTACAACCACAGAGGGAACGTCCCAGGAGTGATTGACATGGCGTCTGGTGACATCATCGTTCTGACACAGAAGGTGGATGAGAACTGGTATTATGGAGACACGAACAGCAGTAGTGGGCTGGTCGCTGCTAACATGATACAGATTATCCACCAGCAGCATCAGACTCCACCACAGTCTCCATCCCAATCTCAATCTCAGTCCCAACCCAAAACCCAACAGCAGGCTGAATCCCAACCCAAATCCCAACAGCAGGCTGAATCCCAACCCAAATCCCAACAGCAGGCTGAATCCCAACCCATATCCCAACAGCAGGCTGAATCCCAACCCAAATCCCAACAGCAGGCTGAATCCCAACCCAAATCCCAATTCCAAAAACAGTCCCAATCCCAGACCCAGCCACATTTCCAGTCTCAGCCTTTAGCCCTCTGCAAAGCCCTGTACGACTTTGACTCCAAACAGATGGACGTGGAGAACTGCAAGGACTGCCTCACCTTCCACAAGGTACGTCTGCCAGTCTCTCTTTTCTCTGGAACTGTATATGCTACTACAATACATCACAAGTAATTCAAGCCTGGCCCTGGAGACCCACGGGCTGTTACTTGTGGTCCTCTGTAGCTCAATTGGTAGAGCACGGCGCTTGTAACGCCAGGGTAGTAGGGATAAAAGTAGGGATAAAAGCGTCTGCTAAATGGCATATTATTTTATATATTATTTTATTTATTTTTACTCCAGCCAAGTTGATGTTGTTCTCCAGGTCTCCTCAAATTGACCCTAAAGATCTGTGTATCTGCACCTTGAAGGGAGCCCAAATTGAGCAAGTCCCTCATTATAAGTATTTGGATTGATGATAAACTGTCTTTTTAAAACACACATTGAAAAACTAACAAATTAAGATCGGTTTCCTCCTATAGAAATAAATCCTGCCTTACTTTTAAAAACAGGAGGAAGATTGTTCAAGCGTCGCTCCTCCCAGTACTTGACTATGGTGCGGGGGCGGCAGGTAGCTTAGTGGGTAAGAGCGTTGTGCCAGTAACCGAAAGGTCGCTGGTTCTAATCCCCGAGCCGACTAGGTGAAAAATCTGTCGATGTGCCCTTAAGCAAGGCACTTAACCCTAATTGCTCCTGTAAGTCGCTCTGGATAAGAGCGTCTGCTAAATGACTAAAATGTAAAATGTAAATGTAATATAATAATAATAATAATAATAATATAATATATAATCTACATGGATGCAGCAGCCTCTGTTTTAAAACCTTTAGATTCAGTCTATCACTCAGCCCTGCGTTTTATCACTGGAGACACTTTTTGTACAAATCATTGCCTTTTATATAGTTCTGTTGGCTGGGAGTCTCTGACTACCAGAAGGGCATAACTTTGGCTGCTATTTGTATAGAAAGCAGTTCTCCAGAAACTCCCAAACTACCTCACCTCACTTCTTAATTGGAAATCCAGCCACCATCAGACTCGCTCTCAAGACTGGCTGGTTCTAGAGCAGGGGTCTCCAAACTTTTCTAGCATGAGAGCTACTAAAAAAAAAAGACATGTTGCTAGCTACTCTTTTTAAAAATGTCATAGAGATTTCAAATAGGCACATTCTTCTCTAATCCTCTACCCTGCAACTCTTCCCCGGGTCCTTGGTCTACAAGAGATGTGTTTTCTGTCAATATAACTGGTCAAATAATGGTTAATAAACAACTCTAAGGCCTCATACAATTATCTTTCTTATTTTCCTGAATTCTGTTTTCTGTTTTATTTTTCCTGGTATTTATTTTTCCTTCAGTTTTTTACTCTCAATATTAAAATTATTCCCAGAGAAACAACGAAAATGGATGTTCTGAGTCCATGACAATGCTTAAATAGCATCAGAAGACCAATTTTGAGGTTTGGAAAAAACACATTTAGATTTTTTTGTGTGTAATTGCCTTTTAAATGTGCATTTAGGAAGAGAGGAATGTTTTGGTCTAGCTATGTTTCTGTTAGGCCTACTGCTGCAGCACATGCCATGGCAGAGTTTGCTAAACAATCGCCACCCAATTGATACAAATAATCATGATATCGTTCTGTCAGGTAAGTCTACATTGCAGTTAACATTTAATTGAGAAGGTTATTGGGGAACGTCTTTATGTCTACCGACAAGACGGTTATCATTAGCCTACTAGCATCGCTAACTAGCGACATACGGAGCGATAGACAAACGGGTCCACCAAAGACAGACAAGGGCGATATTACAATAATTTGGCAGATATTGTGTTAGGTTTGGCTTTTTAAACCATAAGTGGCTAACCAGGAGTGGGATGTCAATGTGGCTTTGATTGGATAGTAGCCGGGGGCTTTATGTTTATGACAGTTAAAGATGGAACAAATGAAAAGAAATGCATGTACTTTCAGAATTGCTTGGGGAGCTACTCATAGGTGGGCAGGTAGCTCATGATCTACCTGTTGGAGGCCCCTGCTCTAGAGGTTTCTCGGGTCTCCACAGAGTCTGGGAAGATTGCCTTTAGTTATTGTGCCATGGAATGACCTGCAGGCCACTCTGAGGCTTAACTCTCTGGTCTGGAAGGGTCAGTTTGGGACTTTGATGAGAAATGTAGTGAAGGAGAACTGCACTTGTTTTGATTGATGTGTAATTTTGTCTGTCACTTTTGAATTTGATTTGTTGTAATGTGTAATTGTACATTTATAGTGTTGTATTGAGACTGATCATGTTGATGTATTGTTCCCAGGGCACCCTTGTAAATGAGACCCTGGTCTCAAGGGATTTCCCCTGGTTAAAAAAAGGTTAAAAAACTCACACTGCATTAAGGAACACATTCTAGCAATGCTTCTTTGGAAAGCAGAAGGTCACAAAGAATTCGAAAACAAATCCAATTTTGATAAACTCCCATATCTATTGGGTGAAATACCACAGTATGCCATCACAGCATCAATATTTGTGACCTGTTGCCACAAGAAAAGGGCAACCAGTGAAGAACAAACACCACTGTAAATACCAACCATATTTAGGTTTATTTATTTTCCCTTTTGTACTTTAACTATTTGCTGCACATCGTTACAACACTGTATATATACAGTGAGGGGAAAAAAGTATTTGATCCACTGCTGATTTTGTACGTTTGCCCACTGACAAAGACATGATCAGTCTATCATTTTAATGGTAGGTTTATTTGAACAGTGAGAGACATAATAACAACAAAAAAATCTAGAAAAACGTATGTCAAAAATGTTATAAATTGATTTGCATTTTAATGAGGGAAGTAAGTATTTGACCCCTCTGCAAAACATGACTTATTACTTGGTGGCAAAACCCTTGTTGGCAATCACAGAGGTCAGACGTTTCTTGTAGTTGGCCACCAGGTTTGCACACATCTCAGGAGAGATTTTGTTCCACTCCTCTTTGCAGATCTTCTCCAAGTCATTAAGGTTTCGAGGCTGACGTTTGGCAACTCAAACCGTCAGCTCCCTCCACAGATTTTCTATGGGATTAAGGTCTGGAGACTGGCTAGGCCACTCCAGGACCTTAATATGCTTCTTCTTGAGCCACTCCTTTGTTGCCTTGGCTGTGTGTTTTGGGTCATTGTCATGCTGGAATACCCATCCACGACCCATTTTCAATGACCTGGCTGAGGGAAGGAGGTTCTCACCCAAGATTTGACGGTACGTGGCCCTGTCCATCGTCCATTTGATGCGGTGAAGTTGTCCTGTCCCCTTAGCAGAAAAACACCCCCAAAGCATAATGTTTCCACCTCCATGTTTGACGGTGGGGATGGTGTTATTGGGGTCATAGGCAGCATTCCTCCTCCTCCAAACACGGCGAGTTGAGTTGATGCCAAAGAGCTCGATTTTGGTCTCATCTGACCACAACACTTTCACCCAGTTCTCCTCTGAATCATTCAGATGTTCATTGGCAAACTTCAGACAGCCCTGAATATGTGCTTTCTTGAGCAGGGGGACCTTGCGGGCGCTGCAGGATTTCAGTCCTTCACGGCGTAGTGTGTTACCAATTGTTTTCTTGGTGACTATGGTCCCAGCTGCCTTGAGATCATTGACAAGATCCTCCCGTGTAGTTCTGGGCTGATTCCTCACCGTTCTCATGATCATTGCAACTCCACAAGGTGAGATCTTGCATGGAGCCCCAGGCCGAGGGAGATTGACAGTTCTTTTGTGTTTCTTCCATTTGCGAATAATCGCACCAACTGTTGTCACCTTCTCACCAAGCTGCTTGGCGATGGTCTTGTAGCCCATTCCAGCCTTGTGTAGGTCTACAATCTTGTCCCTGACATCCTTGGAGAGCTCTTTGGTCTTGGCCATGGTGGAGAGTTTGGAATCTGATTGATTGATTGCTTCTGTGGACAGGTGTCTTTTATACAGGTAACAAGCTGAGATTAGGAGCACTCCCTTTAAGAGTGTGCTCCTAATCTCAGCTCATTACCTGTATAAAAGACACCTGGGAGCCAGAAATCTTTCTGATTAAGAGGGGGTCAAATACTTATTTCCCTCATTACAATGCAAATCAATTTGTAACATTTTTGACATGCGTTTTTCTGGATTTTGTTGTTGTTATGCTGTCTCTTACTGTTCAAATAAACCTACCATTAAAATTATAGACTGATCATTTCTTTGTCAGTGGGCAAACGTACAAAATCAGCAGGGGATCAAATACTTTTTTCCCTCACTGTACATAATATGACATATTAAATGTCTTTATTCTTTTTGAACTTTTGTGTAATGTTTACTGTTCACTTTTTATTGTTTATTTCACTTTTGCTTTTGATCTATTTCACTTGCTTTGGCAATGTAAACATATTTTTCGAATGCCAATAAAGCCCTTTGAATTGAATTGAGAGAGAGAGAGGGGTTGTACCTAGAGAGGGACAGGAGAGAGAGAGAGAGAGCGAGGGGAGGGGGTGGGGGCTGTACGTAGAGAGGGACAGGAGAGAGAGATACATGGTATAGAGGAGATGGACCCACTGGTTGCCTTCTAGGTTACAGAGAACTGGGAGTCCCATCCACCAAACGACCAGGTGTGAAACAGGGAAGGGACTCGGGGGTTATGCTAATGTGGTATAGAGCAGACCTAACTCACTCTATTCAATTAATCAAAACAGGAACATTTTACATTTGGCTAGAAATTCAAAAGGAAATTATCTAAACAGAGACAAATGTCCTCCTGTGTGCTACCTATATCCCCCCACTAGAATCCCCATACTTTAATGAAGACAGCTTCTCCATCCTAGAGGGGGAGATCAATCATTTCTAGGCCCAGGGACATGTACTAGTCTGTGGCGACCTAAATGCCAGAACTGGACAAGAACCTGACACCCTCAGCACACAGGGGGACAAACACATACCTGGAGGTGACAGCATTCCCTCCCCCATA